AAACACAATCAGCCAGCATGCTCAAGCACTGAGAGCAATGTCCCTGAGAACTGCTTTTCTATAAATAACACAGCACATTAAATCCCTTTTAAGTCCTTTGTTGAAAGAAAAGTAATAGCTTTAGTAACAGATCTAAGGCTACAGCCTTGAAATTACTAGTTTTTACACTAGAATAATTTGAGTTTGGATGTTTTGCACTTCAAAATGTGATCGAACACCCCAAATCATTTATTTCCAAAGATACCAAGTTTTAAACACTGTCAGTCCTTACTGCCAGATTCCAACTGTATTCCTACAAGCAACCTACCCTCCAGCAGAGATTACTCTGCCCTGTATACATCTGCTACATGAGGAAAGATGAAGAGAAGCAAAAGTGTCAATTTGGAACCACCTCTGCTACCAGCATTAATTATTTTAATTACTTTTTCCAAAAGCAAACAAATAGCACCAACCATTACTGTTGCACAGTCACCTAAAATCAATTTATATATGTGTACAAAAATTTGCCATCTTTTCCAGGACTGGACTAAAATGAGAGGAATATTCCTGGAGTTCCTGGAGCCTATGGAAGAATGGGTCTATAGAAGAATGGATCTGAACCTGACTTACGTTTCACTGCAAGTGAAATCTTGCCTAAATTAATATTTGAGTATTATGATGTCATGTGTTGTCCGATAAGGAGGTATAAATTTGGTTCTTTAATCAGGGAAAGTGCTGAATAGGTGAAAACTCTACACTCTAAAACTTACTACAGTTGTTTGTGGGAGCCCTAAAAATCAGGATTTAGCCCTGTATCATTTTCACTAAGTTTTTATAGACCTCAGAGTTTCACAAACTGCCTGAGATTTTAAGTCTTTTTTTTTTAAAATAAATTAGCACTGTAGTTTTGACATGCTTGATATTCTTAAAACTCAAACTTACAAGTTTTGCAAATATAACACAAGACAAATTTTAAGCTAAATCCATTTCCAAATTCTTCTCTGAAAAATATTCAAAACCTCAATTTTTATTATTCCAAAGACAAACAGAAAAAACTCCTTTTATTTTATGGGCATTATATAGGTATGATAAATATTTCTCTTTCTGAGAATCCAAAGTGACTTTATAAATATTATGCCCATTCCTGTAGCTATTATTCAAAGGATGGGAAAGTTTACTAGGCAGTGTCTGTAACAAGGTGATCATAGGAAATTTTAGCTTCATGTATGCCAATAAACTTAAGGCAGACACAGATGTCACATAAAGCTGCTGGAAAACTGCAGAAGAACTCTATAACAATTACATCCCTAAAAATCTCTTGAGGAACATCCACTGCCACTAGTATTTGTAAGTAAAAAACTTAATTTACTTTTTTCTTAATTCAGAAAGTCCTCTGTGATTACTTAAAAAGAAATTTATGGGTACATACTTTTGTTTCTCCTACTGCTCCCTAGAATGGAATTTACATTTTTAATGGTTTAATTGAAAGAGCAGACAGAAACCCCAGAATTCATTTCAGTCACACCTAAAATAAATCTGCCAACTGAACAATGAAAAGGAAAAAAAGCCTGCTATGTCAGAAAAGCAAAATTCTTCACATTAATCAATGCCAAGCTTTTCAGGACAAAGTAATACAAATCCTACTGTATGCTAAGAAAGTTTAGATAATATAAGTCTACATTAAGAAAATTACAAATCACTTGACTTTTATCTGTAAAAATATAACTACTTCTGGAGATTCAGGTCTAGAGAACAGATACCTTTGCTTAAAGAGTGCAAAGTGATGAGAGATTAGGGTTGTAAGAGGCCTTAACAGAAAAGATAAATCTAACCCTTGAATTTAATTAATTTATTTTTACTAACACCAGCAAGAATTATTTCCACATAAATTTTAAGTCATTAGAGTATGAGCCAGAAGAAAGAAAATCAAGTCCTGCACTTTGAATTTCTGATGCGCTGTTAAATTTACAACAAATATCAAAGTAATGAAGTAAGGAAGCATAATCGATGTTAAAATACAGTGTTTGAAAGTCACCTTGAAACACTTTGTAGATGATCTGCCACTTAGAGTGCACTTTTTAGTCTATATAACTTAAGAGTATGTAGCCTGACACTTGGAGTCTACTGGAGGGAAAGCCCTACACAAAAAAAACAAAACAAAACAAAACCCCCAAACAAACAAACAACAAAACAAACAAAAATCCAACCAAAACCCCAACCAAACAAATAAAAGCCACCAAGACTCCCCCAAAACCCCCCAAAAAACAAACAAAAAACCAAAACCAAACAAGAACAAAAAAATAACCACAAACTCAAACCAGCTGAAAAAGTTATCAAGACTGATTTAACAAGAATTTTTCTCCTTCATTATTATGACCAAATTAATTTTCACAATTCCCTGTAAGGGCACTAGAGCATGAAGCACTACACAGATGGACAGCAGCAGATTACACCACACATGAGGATACTGGGTCCTTCACACACAAGATCACAACTCATGTACCTGAACATGGGCAGGAGGGCACTGTGAACTTTACATTTAAGGACTCACACAAAGTATGTTTCCATCACACCACAAACTTTTTTCCATTTGGTGCTGCAAGCTTTCCTGGAAGGTGGGTTTTCAGTATGAATCCAGCCAAGCACTCACAGATACAGCACACTTAAGATATCTGTGTCAGCAGTTCTGTAAAGATTTGGGGAGTTATTGCCCTTAAGAGTGCAATCCAATTGTTCCTCTGGACCAGAAATATGTTTCATAGCATAATTGCATTTTGGCACCTCTAAATCTGTGTGGCTGTCATCAGCCTGACACCACAGAAGCAGCTAACAGTGCCTAGACAGCAGATACTCTTCACCAAGCTCTGGCAGTAGTTGTGTCACTTGGAAAGAAATGTGAAGGAGCTGGCCCAACAGCCCATGATGTTCAAAAACAAGCAGAAAACAGTCAAGGAGCTCCCAATTGTGAAAGGACTGAAACTGCAGTGGGAGTTCTAGTGAGGCACAGTCTGATCACTGTGTCTCCAAATCCTCATGGAGGTTTCTGTCATCTGCTACGCTCAGTTTTCAACCATTCCAGGTAGAATCAAACTGGTAGGAAGCCTTAAACTTAATTACAGCAATGATCAGAGAAAGATTTGGATAAAAACAAATCCAAAGGTGAGAGACCCTATTTTAATGCCAGTTGTCTCAATCTGGTGTGCACATGACTCACCTACCCCCTCAGCTGAGTTACAGTAAAACACCATCTCAGTTTCAATGTCCCAGACTAACAGCAGAAAGCATTGCCAGTGGAACTATTCACACAGACACACTGAGGCACAGAGCACATAAGTTTATCTCCTGCATTTAATTGTGATTCTTTCAAAATACTCTTAAGAATCTCTTCAAGAGGCTCTGAAAAAAAGGCTCTGGGATTATCTACCCTTCATTGAGCATCAGAGCATCACTTGTTTGAATACTACTGTGATTTTCTTCTTTCTGATTCTACCAGCATGAGGATCACTACTGCACTCAACAGACACTGTCTGCCCTGCAGTCTGTGTTTGAGGATGGTCAGCAGTCTGGTTCCAGTATTAGGGAGTAAGAAACTGAGAGCTCCTGAAGGAAAAACAAGGAAGAAATTACAACACTTGCATCTTACTTTACATTTCCACATTTACTTTAGACAGTCAAGCCGTGGATGTGGAGGCACTCAGATCATGGTCATATATTCAAAAAATATATGTGGAAAAGCAAAATAGGAATAACAGAAAGGCAAATAGCCAGGAAGTGCTGAGAACAAAAACTATTAAGCAGGTCTACTGAAACAGGTGTTGAAGCACTGTGACAAAAACTACCCCAAGTTCCACTAAAATGCTGCAGTAAGGTGGTAAAAGATGCATTCACAATGTACAATTGATAGGTTAAAAGAATTGCTAAAATAGAAAAGAAAAATTGCTTATGAGATAAACTAGAGTCTCTGGACAAGAACCAAAGCTGCAGGCAGAGATCATCATGACAATATCCTAGGGTAGAAGTGTGGGCTCAGGTGCTGAGGTATCAAGAGGACACAATCAACCCTACTGCACACATCAAAAGCCTCGAAACTCCTAAAATGTTTAAAGACCAGATTTACAGAAAATGGTTTAGATGCCTGAAGAGTCTTGAGAAATTTTCAGTAATACTTCAACACCTAACCCTATTTATAATAAAAAATATTAGGCACCCGCACACTTCTGAAAAATCACACAGGGTATTTCATAACTAAAAGATTCTGGACAATGTTTTAAAACTTGGCCATATATTGTTTGGCCTTGGAAGTAGAAGAGCAAAAAACTCATAGCCAGGATTTTCTCTCTCCTTGGAGAACTACTCCAAGGCTTGTCCCATTAATAGGGACACCAATTTTCTGGTACAGAGAAGGAAGGTACAGGGAAGGAAGGCAGGCCCCTTCTGCTCTGAACTAATTCTAGAATCCTCTTTTGTAGCGACCCTTATGCCCCATCGTTAAGGACATCACCAGTGCCACACAGGCCCGTCAGTGCTGCAGCACAGGGAGGGCTCAGATGGGTCACGCAAGAGAGGGGGCAAATGAAGGAAGAAGAAGGCAGGTGCAAATACGTGCAGGCAGGAGGAGGCAGGTGGAGGTAGGAGGAAACAGGGGAGGCTGCAAGCAGGTGGAGGCAGGAGAATGGCGGCTGGTGGAGCAGGCCCTCGAAGGGCCTATCCCCGCAGCCACGCCCTGCCGGGCTTTGCCGCCCGCTCGGCCAGCGCAGCTCCTGGCTGTGACCCGGGAGGGCAGCGCCGTGACATGGGTTGGTAGGGCTATGATTCCGGCGAGAAGGGCTATGACCCGGGGCTAGAAGAGCCGTGATCCAGCCGGGACCAGCGCCCGTCACGGCCTGGTCCCCGCTCCCCGCCACAGCTCCCCTTCCGCCGGCGCGGCCTCACCCGGATGTGGATGCGGCCGCCTCCCCGCGGCCGAGGTCACCTTGATGCCTCCGAGCTGAATTGTCTGTCCCCAGGCTGGGTTGTCTCACCTTGTGTAAACGCAACTGATGGCGTCAGATAACTTCTACAATACGAGTTGCTTAATGAAGGAAACCTTGTGCTTGGAGCATTGCGTAAGATTACATCACAGGATAAATATGCATTAGGTAGGCGGAGAGCATGGGTTAGATAGGCGGGTCCATGTGCGTTTTGCGTTATAAAAGATGCACGTTGTTACCACCGGGGTGTGGTTTGTGGAAAGCCCCGCCACGCGCCCGTTGGAGAATAAGCAGTATTTATTCTGTAAACCTTCTAAACTACTTTCTCTGTGTTTGGGGAGCTCCTAAAGTCGCGAAGAGCCCCCGGAGCGCCGGGCGCTGCTGCTCATCCCGGCGGGGCTCGGGGCCGCCCCCGCCGCTCACTGTCCCTGCCGGGCAGCGGCTGGAGAAGTCACCGCCGATGCCGGAGCAGCCCCGACCCTCGATGGAGCCTCTGTTCCTTGCCCTTTGCTTCCTGGTCCGTGTTTTGCTCACCCAGCCCGACCGTAGGCTCGGTGCGTGGCCGAGCACCAGCGGCGTCCATTCAGTGTCATCCCAGAATTCCAGGATCCTGAGGGTTGGAAGGGACGTTTGGAGATAATCCAGTCCAACCTCCCTGCCAGGAGGGCTGTGGAGAGCAGGTGGCACAGAAGTGGGTTTGGAATGTCTCTAGACATGGAAAATTCACACCCTCCCTAGGCAGCTGTTGCAATGCTCTGCCATCCTCAATGGGAAGAAGTTCTTTCTCATGTTAAAAAGAAACTTCTCGTGTTCTAGTTTATGGCTCCTCGTGCTGTCAATGGGTAGCACTGGAAAGAGTCTGGTTCCTTCTCTTGGCACTCCTTTGACATATTTATCTGCATTAATGAGGTCCCTTCTCAGTCCTCACTTCAGAATAAACAGCCCCAGTGCCCACAGTCTCTCCTCATCAGAGACCCGCTCCACGCTCATCACCTTTGAGGCCCTTCTCCAGTAGCTCCTTGTCTTTCTTATACTGAGAAGTATGGAGATTATTCAGGAACTGGCAGGACAGTGAGGATCACACCAGCCATGGGCTGGGCAGGAGGACATAAGCCTTTGTGCCATTCTCTGAGAGGATGTGGCATAAAGAGGCTGAAGTAAAGGCAGGCAGCTGAGTTGTGAATGACACATTGTAATGAATTGGGAAAACAAGGGGTTAATTTCCCTACCCAACCTCTTCTGTGAAAAGAACAGTGTCAGTATCTAGTAGATAGTTAATTAATGAACAGTACATTAAAAGTCATAGAATAAAAAGAGATGTAACATTATTCCAGTGAAACAGTACCTTACAGCAATTTTCCTGTTCCATACTATATGAAGAAACATAAGATCATAGAATTATAGACAAGTTTGGCTTGCAAAGGACCATAAAGCTCATCCAGTTCCACCCCTGCCCTGGGCAGGGACTCCTTTTCATTATCCCAGACTGCTCCAAGCCCTGTCTAACCTGGCCTTGGTCATTTCCAGGGATGGGGCAGCCACAGCTTCTCCAGGCAACCTGTACCACAGCCTCACCAAAATATTATTTAAAAATTAAAAGATACTATGGTATAGGTTTTGTGTCCTGTTATACCTGACTGCAGTGCTTCCAAAGGTAGCTAGAACATGACTTTTTGGGGGGTTAAATAGCATACATCTTAATCACTCTTCTTCTAAGATATACCATTAAAAAAAGAAAAGTTTGTGCCTGTGTGCCTGAGCACTATAAAATCCAACAGTTTGATGGAAGTTCTGTCAGCAGACAGCAACAGTAATAATTAAGGGCTTGTTTTCTTCATTAGTTAATCTTCTACTGCGGTATTATCCTAGTGAAAGACCATTATATGTCAGTCAGATGGTTGAATTTCTTCTTGGATGTAAAGGGGAAAAAAAAAAACCCCTAAAAAAACCTTCTCAGTATTCTATAATAATGTTGGTACATTCAATATTTTTTATAAAGTTTTAGTTAGTAGTTATTTGGTTTGTTTCTGTAATGCTAAAAATGAACATTCAGATTCTCAGAACTTCAGGAGGTTCTTTCCAGGATGGTGTTCAAACCTGCTCTGGGGCCTAGAGTGCCTGCTCCTGTTTTGTCAATAAACTGAAGATATCACTTCTTTTTACTATCAAGATACTATTTTCTTTGTACAGATTAATGTAAGTTTGGATTACTGAAGGCAGTAATACTTAAGTATGTTATGTTTATCATCAGTGTATTCCTGTATTGCATCTCAGTAGCATATTCCTTTTCTGTTTTAGAATTTGTTACACTGTTTTTGCAGAAAGAATAAGTGTATTGTGGGAAAAAAAAAGAGAAAAAGTAGCTCTTACTAAGCCAAATTAGATAATTACAATTTCGCTGTATCTTCAAAACACAGCTGTGTCTTTTGGGTTGTGAGAATTAGTATTTAGTGCATGTAACTTTGCACTTTTTATCTAAAGAAAAATGGTCCCCTCCAAATGAAGATTCCTCTAATTAGCTCATTTTCTCAATTTTGAAATTTAGTAGAAGTAAATGTGTTCCTTTTTACAATTTATTATTACAGATATTATTCCTGAGTTTAATTAATCTTTTATAATGGCCATTATCAGATTTCTCTTGCTTTTTTTCCATGTCAGAATTTGGTAGCTGAGACAAATGAAAGCACTTTTGTTTTGATTTTCCACTGACATGTCTGAATTAATTTGTATCTTCTATCCTTAATTTATATATCAGCAGCACAAGAGGAAAGTGTATATACTATACTAGAACTGTTCCCAAAAAGGATTCAAATATCAAGGTTTTTTCTGTATGATTATGTGTAGCTTTGTCTAAAAATCTATTTCAACATGTCTTCCACACAATTTAAATATTTGTAACACAGGCCTCTATCTCTGGTTGGGTTTTTGTTTATTTGTTTGTTGGGTTTTTTAAGGCTATAAATTTTGAAATATCTGTATTTTTGGTTTCCTTGGAGTCTGATTTAGTTTTGTTTTGATAATCATCTTCCCACCTGAGTTGCCACTCAGTTGCCACTCAGTTGCTACTGTAGGCCTTGAAATAAACTGCTCTTGGTTTTTTACTTCATCTGACCTGTCTTAAGGCACCCATAAGCTCACTTTGAAAATCTCCCTGGATATTGCCCCTTATATTTTAGGAGTATTTCCTGTTGTAACATGCCGTAAGGAAATAGCCAAAAGTTTCCCATTGTCCGGCACACCATTTCACTGAATACCCCAATTTGGTCAGACTATCAATATAAATTGTTAGCATTTTTTCTAAAGCAGTAATGATTCTCAACAGCCACCATATTTTGGGAAACTGAAGGGCAAAGAAGCAAAATGGAAATAAGAAAATTCATTTGTCTCAAGACTCAGACTCATTCCTTGAAGTGCACAATTTAATAAGTGTAAATTCAGCAAGTAGAGAAAAAAAGGAAGAGGAGGAAACACATTGCAAACTATACACTTATTACAGCTTTTAAAAGGAATCAGGAAGAAGCAGCTTGGGAGGCTTGTATTTCAGCTTAAGGTTGCACGAAGTAAATAGCAAAAGGTTGATTGTTTTTATTTTTTATCTGTACTCATCTTTAAACTATGTTCCTCTCTAGAGCTTTATGAAATATGAAAAAGACCTTTCATAATATTAAAAAACAGAAGGTCCACTATAATTACACCCAAAATGGTTTGAACCAATCTAAGACCAAGAATCATCTTAATATGGGCTGAATGTTATTGTTTTGTCTCCTAGAGAGCAAAGTTTATAGAGATTCCTGTCAGTTCTAGAACTTTTTTTTTAAAATTCATTCAGCCTTACATGGTAACACTGGGTGGTTATAAATAGGTGGGTGATATCCCCCTTCATTTGAGCATTTTTGTGTGGTATGAAGCCAGTCATACTTTTCGTCTTCCAAAGGAAACAATGTTTATAATGCTGTTGGACTGGAGGCTTTTTTTCAATCCTAGTAGAGAAATAAGTAAAACTGCTGAACAAGCATGATTTATAAAGTAGATATGGATTGATTTACCACTATTAAATGCCATCTTTAACCTACAGGGCTTACTTACTTACTGAGGGAAGTTGGTGATAGAACACAACAAAATTAAGTATGTACTTTTGTTACCCTGAGGCAGATGGAGAATATGGGGCTTGGGACATTGAGGTTCTTTATATGAAAGGTAACCACTATTTTTATTTTTCATGTACAGCCAAGGCTTAGGAAATCTAGTCTTTATAAACAATTGTTTGCTAATAACCAGGGAAGAATGGACCAAGTTAATCTTGTTGCGAAACTACTATTTCCACGACGAGAACTAACATCCACTCTCATTCTTGGGGTCACTAGTAGGAGCAAGGTCCAGTCAGTTTGAAAGGGCAGGAGAAGAAAATTCTGTGTTAACTGTGAAAGTAGACAGCATGTGTAGGATAATTTAGTCTTTTTCAACTTAAATTTCTGATTTTTACCCTATTGAGGTACCCACCTACTTCAGTCCTCACAATTGACAATAATGCAAAAAGTGTATTTGTTGCCAGCTCTGAAAAATCCAGCTCTGAAAAATTCTACCACCCTTTTCTACCCACTAAAATATCCACAGTCAAGGCATACTACACTTGTTTTCCTTTTAGGGTTTTATAGGAAAAAACATAGTATAGAAATCATTGTAATTTCCTTTCAAGAAAATTTACTAAAAGTAGTCAGTAAAAAAGTAAAAAACTCCTGTTGTAAAACAAAAAAGCGCTATAGAGTAACGTTTCTTCTCTATCCTTTACCTGTTATATTTCTCCTCTTAGATGACAGTAGCAGAACCCAGAGGCCACCTTCTAAAAGTGGGGGTTTTTTTCTTCCCATTTATAGAATCTGTGTATTGGCAGAAATGCCAAGGTTTCTGCAGCTTCACCAAGAATTACTCTGGTAACATGTTGTTACACCAGCCATCTCAAGTAATGCAGTCCTGTCCTTGCATCCAATTAGTAGTATCTGCCTAACTAACCTTCTCTAATTATCACAGATTTTGTGCATCTAAATAAACACTGTACTACGTGGCTTTGTTTTTTCTGGGTTTTAAAAACTGGATCCTGCTGTTTTTTAAATCCTGTGGAAGTACTTTTGAATTTGTAATCAGTTTTTCAGCTACCTTTTTTTCCTGGTTTAATTGATTTATATGATAAGTGCATTTGTATAAGCAGCAATGCTACATTGGAGACATCTTTGTGAAATCATGTTAAAAAGTTTAAGACATTTTTGATTCACAAGCACAGTTCTTTTTCAATCAGCTTTTGCTTACATCTTCAAGAGCAGTTTATGAATGGTGCTCTTACTTCAAGTAGTATTTTCCTACAGTATTTTAGCTTCCC